ACACGAGACTAAGACATTAAGTCACATGGTTGGCTCAATCTGCCTCAGTAAAATAGACACTAAACCATAAAAGTATAAATAAATTAGTACTAAGTTATACTAATCACACTAAACAAAAAGGTCTATATAAAGAAATGGGTTTTATTATAATATAAAGCTTTGTGCTTAAGAACAATCATTAACTTTATTACTATAATTACAAGAATTACAACCAGTTACAATCTTATTGAATTTCTACTTGAAATCTAATCTAAATCATTTCGAAAGAATTCTAGATATTTTCACATAACCCTAAAGGCAGCTCCCATAATATCTACATAGTATAATAAGAACTTCGTTCTTCTTTTATACTATACATGTATCAGAATAGATTATATTATATTTAATAATAAACTTTATTAATATTTATAAATCCTAAATATATTTATATCAAGTAATTATATATAATATATAAGATACAAAAAAGATAACATGATTAAATGTAATTTTTATTTGTTAATTATGTAAATTCTAAGTATAAATGTAAACTATAATTATTTATAAAAAGTATTTTTTATTTTGTTTCAAATCTAAAGTTGGAATTCTTAACGTAATATAATAAAAAGATGAGAGTTATATTATTTGTAATAAATTCTAATATAAAAGGAATGATTTAGATATTATTAGGTAGAAAAGATTAAAATTAATTTTATTACGAGGTGATACTAGTTCTTTCTGTCCTGTCCTGTCCTGTTATATATGTAAGAGTAAGATAGAACTTTCAATTCTATCTTCTAGTCTTTTATGATTTTGTAATATAATAGTAAAATTTTTAAATACTCTTAGAAATAATTTTATAATATTAGATAGAATTACTCTTAATTATAAATAGAGTTATATAAAAGGACTGTTACGGAAGCTACCTCTAGGGTCATGTGGAAGTGCCTAGAATTCTCTCAAAATAATTTAGATTAGATTTCAAATAGAAATTCAATAAAATTATAACTAATTATAATTCTTATAATTATAGTAATAAAACTAATAATTATTCTTAAACACAAAGCTTTATATTATAATAAAATTTATTCCCTTATATAAACCTTTTTGTTTAGTGTGATTAGTATAGCTTAATACTAATTTGTTTATACTTTTATAGTTTAGTATCTATCCCACTGAGGTAGATTAAACCAACCACATGACTTAATGCCCCAGTCCCATGCCTATATTGTGTCGTTCGTAATAAGGACCTATTCATAGTTAATAAATCTTTATTAATTTGAAGGTTAGTATATATAAATTCTATTTGTTTGAATATTTAAGGTATTATAACTCTGAAACTTTTTAGTTAAATAATGATATGGAAACTATACTTTAAGAAGGGGGGTAATATTATAAGGTGATATTAATACTTTTTGTTCTGTTTTGTTCTACTATATATATATAAAAGTAAGATAGAACTTCTAGTTCTATCTCCTAGTCTTTTATACTTTTATAGTATAGCGGTAAAGCTTCTAAATGCTCCTAGAAGTAGTCCCGTGATAATTTTATATTAAGTTCTTTTCTTTTATTATAATTAAGAAAGAAAAAGAAAGATTATTAATAATTTTAATAACTTTAAAAATAGTAATAAAGTATTAATCTTTAAGGCTAATAAAATAAAACTATTTATTTAGTATTTATTTATTTAAATATTTTCAAAATTTACTTATCTTGAGGACATTATTTGAAATTAGGATTTTTTTGTTTATATATATATTTAGCTTAAATTCTGTTTCATTGAAGTTGATAATCTACATATTTTTTGTAATATTAAATAATATTAAATATTCTTAATAATTTTTACATTATTTTAAGATATTCTTTTCTTTTAATATTCAAGTATATTATGTTATAAGAAAATATACAATAATAGTAGATAGCTTTATCTTTTTTAAATAATCTTTAAAATATTATCTTATAGGATTTATTATCTTTAGATTCTTAGTATATTTGAGGTATACAATTACATTGAAAATAAGTTTATAAGTTGATATAATATTGTAATTTAATAGATTAAGAATTAGAGTTTTGATATATTTTCCTTATACTTTAATTAAAACTCTATTCTAATCTTTATTAAAGGAATAAGAATTGCTTTAATTAATCTATTACATTTTTATTATATAGCTTTTTTAAATTGTTTATAATGATTATCGAACTTTTAAATTTTGTCGGAACATGTAATCAATAATATAACATTACGTATTACGCTTTACCTTACATACGTATGAAATGCGTAAGTAGAGGTAGTATATATATATAGATATAGCTGTTGGTATCACCATGGGGATGGTGAAGTCAATATAGTACTATGGTTCACACTGTTGTTATATTGCTTGAGGTTCTAAAAGCTAGGGCTACGAAACGTATTTGCTGTAGTGTCGGAAGACGCTAGCGTCAACGCTAGCGTAGTCACATGATCACTGTCCCAACAATAGCAATTCCCTCTTTATACAAAAAAAAATAGATAGAAATAAACAATCCTTTTACCTATATATATTGTATATACATACCTTACTAAGTCTATTCAACAAATTTATATACTAGTATAAATAGGTTCTTATAAATAATTTAAATAATATTAATGTTACGAGAGCTGCCTCTAGGGTCATGTAGAAGTGTCTAGAGATCTCTCGAGATAATTTAGACTAAAATTTAAATAGGAATTTAATAAGGTTATAATTGATTAAAATTCTTATAATTATAATATAAAACTAACGAAAAAACCAAGGAAAGATTTTCTTGGAAAAACTTATTAATCTTTATTACATTTGAATCAGAATATTATTTTCTATTTCTTTTCAAAATTATTGAATTAATATTTACTTAAATTAAAGAAATATTATTATTAATATTAAGAAGAAAAATCTAGTATATTTATATTAAAATTATTAATATCGATATTATTAATAATAAGCTTATTATATTGAATATAATTAATGGAAAAGATTAAATTATAGATTCCTATAATAATTCAGGGTTTTTAGTATTCGAAAGTCTTATAGAAAGGTTTTAATTATAAAGAAGAAGATTCTTAAGTATAGGAAAATAAAAAATAAAAACTTTTCAAAAAACCCTGTTTTTTTTAAGAAATATTTTATAAGAAATATATTAATATAATATTTGATATCTTATTAATATGCTTATAATTATTCTATATGAATAAAGAAAAAAGCTAAACCTTTTAAAAAACATTTATAATATATTAATTTAGATGTACAGCATTTTATATTAATATATAATATTACTACGAAATATTGATTTCAATATTATCTTGTATGGTAAATAATATATTATTAATTATGATTGAAAAAGTAGTAATCTTTTAATGTAGAGTATATTATTAAAGTAATAGTATTCTAATATTATTATATTTATTATTTTGATTTTATCCAATTATTTAACTCTATAATATAGTTTTGTTTTTTATATTAATAGAATAGTCTGATAGGTTTTTAATATATTATATTCTATATTGATAAAGTAATTTAATAGAAGAAAAGAAAATAAAAGATATTAGATTTTAAAAAGAAATTATATATTATTAATATATTATAAAAAAAGGTAAATATAAGATTTATAAGTAATAAATTAGAAGTTATAATAGAATCTTTAAAGGATTCGAAGTATTAGAAGGCGAAGATAATATTTTAAGAGAAATATGATATTATAATTAATTATAACTTTTATAATATTTTGAAAAGAATTAAATAGAAAAAAAAGGATTATTATAATAGAATAAAAAGCATAAGATTTTTATAAATATATTAAAGGATTTAATAAAAAAAAGATTTTTGAATAAAATAGATCTATAATATAGACAATTTAAAGGATTTAAAAGGATTATTCAAAAGGTTGCTTAAGGATTTCAATAAAGAAGTTCGAAAAAATAAAAAAATATTTCTTTTTCTTATCTATTTTATTCAATTAGAACCATATATAGGCGTATTATATGATCTTAGTATAGCTAGATAGACTAAATCGATTATGAATTTACTATTATTACTAATATAAAACTAATGATTATCTTAAATATAAAGTTTTATATCATAATAAAACCTATTCTCTTATACAAATCTCTATTCTCTTTAAATCAATAAATTAATTACTACAAAACCGACTTCGACAATTTGGTTTTCCTAATTACATAATACTAATACTTACAATCTAAAATAAAACCAATTAATTTATACTTACTATCTAATCTATACTTATTATTTAACCTATACTTATCAGACAACCTATAATTACTATCTATATTATTCCCATTATAAAATAAATACTAACAAAAGATAAATATCTATCTTTTAATTACTAATTACTTATTTAATTACCACTATCTTTAATTATCCTTTAATCTTATTATTCCTACAATACTGTTTTCGTAGGTCCCGACATTAAGGCCTCAGGTTAATCTTATAATTCATATTACGGTACGTACCTCTATAACAATTGAATAGCTTTATTATATCTAGCTTTAACTTTATTAATTATAGATATAATGAATAGATAATAAGAATCAATATTCTATCAATAATAATATAATTTATAAAGGTTGTCGTTAATATAATTTAATTATTATAATATATTATGGGTTTTCTGGGGACAACCGCTTTCCCCGACTAGGAACTAGGAGGCCGCTTATAAGAGCCGACAATTAGTGGGACACTCCATCCACACACTTCACCCATGAAGTAATCCCTATACCCAAAACCCCATTCCCATTCCTATTCCCATTCTACTATGTAGACCTCCCCCTCCGCAAAACCCCTCACAACCCAACCCCCTCCAAATTCCAAAACTCATCCTCCGTACCCGGAAACGCCAACCAAAAATTATCATCTAAATCCATCAAAAACTCATCTTGCGGGCAACTTTCCTGCATCACTAGCGGTGCAGTTGCCGATTCATGTTGTTGGTTAAAAGGTTGAGAGATTTCCTCTTCGGGTTCGGGAATTGAAGAGGAAGGATGAGAGTGGAGATTAGCTTCGTGCCACTTTTTGATGCGGAGGAGTTGCCGGGAAAAACGGATGAATATGTCTTTTTTGGGGGGTGGTGGTGTTTGAGGAGTGGGATTGGGATTGTGAAAGTAGTTGTTCTGGACTTCTCCCTCGAATGTGTATAATTATCTTGAGTTTTTCAATCAGGAAATCAATTGTGTGTTGGATATGTAGAGCCGAACGGGCGTACTCTCGATCCCAACCGTCGGCTTTACAGGTGCATAGTTTAGAGGCGACTAGAATACCATAACCGACCTGAACCCAGGTGGTATAGGCAGCTCCGATGGAGAAGTCGATCCATTGGGTGACTTTGTCGTCGAGAAAGGATTTGCCGGATGTTAAGCAGGAGTTGAGGATACTTAGTCGTTCGAGACTGTCTGAATTTGTGAAGTCGGTGTCGTTTAAACCCGCTTCGTAGAGATTGATTTCGGAGATGCTGTAGTTGATTGATAGGAGGACTATTTCGGGAGTTGTTAATAAGGAATAAGGGATACTAGAAGCGGGGAACTAACAATGCGATTTTAGATTTTCGGGTAGCTCGTGTTTAAAAGCTTCTAGTTCTTTCTGTATTAAATCCATACACATCTTTAGTGGAACGATACGAGGACCAAATCCTGCTTCGAGATTGTAGAATGTGTGTTTGATTTTCCTGGTGAGTTATTGTAGCTTTACTAGATGGAAGAGAAGTATGTCACTTTGGAATCCTCCTGCTTCGGCTACCGTTTTGCATGCTTCTTCAAGCTGGACAGTGTACCGCATACTTTCCACGCTACTACCTGGGGGCATCCTAGTGAAAAATATCAGCCAACTCATAGTTATTTTGATTTCCCGATGGTAGACTTACATCGAGGTGGCATAGAAACATCCTGCGTAAGCCCGAAGTTCCTCAAGTCTCCGACTACTTAGTCTGTCTTTATTAGGTTGTCGGCTACCTGTCAAAATATTAGAATCATCAAAAAATAGAGTGTAGTGCTGTGATCAATTTTGTGAAGTCAAGTGACTACTTACCATCAACTGGAATCTTCTCCACAGCTGCACCCAACTTCAATGATCGTTGTAGACCAAGTGTTGTAACCATCGACTTCACAGGGTAAATCAAATTGATTGTTTGATTATTAATGATAGATTGATAATGAAACCTATCGGAATTAGTGAACTTCTATTGATATCAAAAAAAACACTAAAAGTACCATCCAAGATAAACAAGCAAAGCTTGCAACTTGTCTAGACTAGCAGTCTGACCCCTTAACAACAATTCAGTTATGAAATTCTCGAAAGAGCGGATTCCAAAAGCATCCTGAAAAGTCGGACTCCGGTGAGATGCAGCTGTAATGATAGCTTTCCATAAAAATGGTCTTTCTGCTTGGAATTGGCGAGGTGAGATATTGGGTGGTATGAGGACGAATGGACAGTATGGAGCCATGTCGCTTTTGAAAATGGCTAACAATGCGTGTGCGTAATCATCATCGAGGTCGATTATGGGGGGGATAGTTGAAGATAATGGATATATATCTGTATTCGCATTGTTGCCAGTGGATGGAGTCTTGAGATTGTCACCAAAACACATTGATGTCTCGTCGTTGGGGATTTGTTCAGTAACATGGTCTAGCAAGTGTGGTGGATTAATAGACTTGATGTCCGCTGGGATGTTACTCTGACGTTGTGTAATTGATGCTTTTGGTATATGATTCGCAGTACTCAGAATAGTAACGATATCATCTAGTTTCTTCTCGAGTCCAGCCACGGAGCTAGGTGAAGTTAGTAGCGTACTTTAAATCGACCCTCTCATAATACTTACGTTGCTTTAAGTCGCTTTTTCGGTTTATTTGGAGCTTCGCATTCCTTTCGAAGTCGCTGACAGCTGGATGTCAATGATTTAGCGAAAGTAAATATTGAAGATTGAGAAACCTACCGATAGCATTTGTTGCCAACGGGATCAGACGGCATGCATTTCACCTTTGCTTTAGCACATGTTCCACATGCATTATTATGCAGCCCATAGGCCCTTTTTGGGTGTTGAACAATTGGAGCTTCCATTCCTGGAGGTGATGGAGTGTATTATCACGTGACGGTTCTCCCCTTTCAATGAACCTCGGAAGGATGCTTTCAAGATAGCTACCTAGGCTTGAGCTATGAAAATGGCACTCCTAAGAATTCAAGGAGGAAATCTACGAGACCCAAAATTCTGAAGACTACTATTCTTCAGATAGCAAGTCGTTGAGCTCTATCCTCAAAGGGAAGATGACGAGCGGGAACGGCTTCCGTCTCCGTTCTAATCACGTGATCTAGCAACACATCGTCTCATCTTGACTTTACTAGAGGATTTGATGCTGTACATTATGGCGCAAGAGACAGCGATTCCAGAGAATTGTAAAGAAACACTTCTTCACGTGTACGGGATAGTCGTCCGAGTGCACAGATTCTCAAATCTCGGAATCAATTTTGTACATTGTGAGCATGGCATCATTCACATCTCTCAATCGTCCTCGTGCACCTGTTTGGCCAATTTCCTCTGATCAAAAAACCGTTGGATGATCTGATCTATAGTGTTGACACTTCCACGGCAATCTAGCTTAATTTTTTTATAAAAGAAGCTACAAGAACCGATGCACGAGCAGCTGCTAGTTTGAGATCTGCACTCATTGTACTTGGCAATGACCCTCTTCTTTCTCGACCGACTTCCTTGATCTACTGTGTACAGAGGCTTAATGATGGACTATCTGCGTCCGTACTTTTCAAGCACAATCGATGGTTTAATCGAGGCTATTGGAAAGTTCCAACTGCTATGTGGATCGTAATAAAGTTTATTTTCACTCAAGCCTTATGTGCTCAAAGCACTAGAGTAATTATGAAGATATCTGAAGTTCCTAGATATGTGAGCAGTAGGGACTTTTTTGCTCTCAGCTTGCCCCGGGATTTTCAGGTACATGGCACAGCTGCCATTAGCCTTCCGATTTCAGCTCGATCTAGTGACGGCTCGACCTAGAACCTTTACGAAGGGCCGATACGATCGTCTTCTGATGCTCAAAAGTTACATGACGTTCAGTGGTATAACGTTCGAATAGTTATTCTCGGAAGCGGGGTTTTGTGTGGGACGATGAGTTGGAGTAGTACGACCAAGGGTGTAGTTGCCTTTGCAACATTTGTTCAGGCCCTCTAGAGGTGAGCTTGCGGGAAGAGTATGTGTGAAAAGATATCTTGAAGTCATCGAAACTACTTAGAAGATTCAATAGCGAAGAAGAAGTGTGTCACTTTTCAGTGAGCGATATCTCCCTTGTAGCACCGCGTTCATGTATAAATACCCCAGTATACCACCCAGGATGAGGAATCCATTCAGTAGCTACTCACTTCTTCATCTCAACATCTAATAAAATTATTCTCCAATCTTTCGCATTTTCTTGTCTAATTTAAGCCGACAAAATGGTTGCCATCAAGAATGTTTTCTGCTTCATCACAGCAGTCACTGCTGCCGCTATTTACCAGCGTTCACCGGAGACTATTCTCACAGATATAACAACCATCGATACCAATGTCAAAGCACTTACGACTGCAGTAGACAACTACAACGGTGGATTCTTTAACCTGCTCACAGTGAGCAGCACTGAATCAACTTTGGAAACTTGTAAGTTCCGATTTGAAGTTGTCATATAACCCATACTAAGAATTCACCTTAGCTATCAAGAACGCTGCCAAAGATGCCGCCGACACATCTCAATTGTCCTCAGACGACTCCAACAGTATCCTCGATGAAATCCATAACTTGATCCCCGATATTCAAGAGGCACTCAATGCACTTGTAGCAAAGAAGCCTACATTCGCTAGCGCAGGTGTTGCTTCAACCGTTGAGAGTGACTTGGCGAATTTGAAACAGGAAACTGATACTTTCGGAAAGAACCTTCTTGCCATTTTCTCTTCCGATGTAGAGCCACAATTATCTGCGGATTTGAGTACGATTGATGACGATTTCACCAATGCCCAGGCTGCGTTTTCAGGCGGTTCATAAATTTCACAATGTCATTGTATAGGAATGTGGAAGTTATTGGTGGGGGAGAATTGTTTAGATCGAGTCGCAATTTGGAACAAGCGATAGCATCGAATGGGGTTGGTTAGGGATGCAAAGAGATTATTCAGAATTTGACATTGGCTGAATGCAAAAACCATACTTTCTAAGCCATGAAACCACGTTTTTGCACTTGTGAATGAATACCGGTACATAATTTATTTCTGAACCTGAGAAGGCTGCTTGTGTGTTGAAGAGTACTAATCCGGACTTGGGAAAGAAACGGGCACGTAGCAGTAAACTGAAGAGTCACTACCTGCAAACGTCATAACATAAAAACCAAGTGTCATATAATATCTCTATGAAGATATCAATTTTTTTGTGAATTATATGTAATGTGATCACTATCAAATCTAAAACATGGGAAACATGCATCGTATTCACTATTTAAGGGGTCTAGTTGGTGTATTCTCATTGGTCTAATCGTGTTACATAAGCCGAGGCTGATGACATCGGAACTTGAGACTTGATGTCCCTCAACTCGAATGAGTTCCAAAGAACAAACTTCTATGATTTAAGCTGTATTACCAGCAGATACCATGAACCATGTTCAATTTCTCAAGCTTTGTGCAAAAGGCTCAATCATTCATTGACCCAACTCAAGCTCTCAATATTTCTGCTTCTGATCGCAATCCTGCCAAATCTACCCTCTTCCGCAATCAATTCCGATTACCAGATTCCCAAACCCCTCTACAAGAAATCACCGCAGAACTTACTATAGCCCCACCAAATCAATACTCACCGAATGCTAAACAAGGAGAGAAGGATAGAGAAAGAGAGGGGGGGTTTCATTATGCTGGAAAGTTGCACTTGAGTGAAGCATATCTGTGCTTCTCGACACAACCTACAAGTTTCCTTCAAACGGCGAGTACAGGTACATCTTCTGGATTCAATGGACAAACACATGGAGCCGGACCTGGAGGGAATGGATTTACCTTACCTTTATGTGCTATAAGACGAGTAGAGCGACTTCATAGTCAATCCTATCAAGTATGCATCCCTTCTTTACTGCATTATTCATTGCTGACATAGAGTAAAGTTTGCACTGGCTATTACTACCTGGAATGGAATCACAAACACATCAACAAAAGATGGCACTAAACAACCTACATATCAACAAAAAATTACAGTAAATCTTGCCGGAACGCGCCAAGCATGCGAAAGGTTTTGCGATGGCTTAAAGAAAGGACTAAAATCGGGAGTGGGTGAGGTCGCAAAGATGAAACGTGTTGTGGCAGAGTGTTATTCGGAATTCTTGCTACAAGGTGACAGCAAATCAGCAGAAGCTCCAGATGCAGGACTTGGAATGTTATTCAGATATCCGGGCGACCTTCGGAAACTACGAGACAAAAGTAAGATGCGACTTTGGGGAGAATATCTTCGAGAGAATGGGCGGAATGTTACATTAATTCGCCAACCTACATTTCATAAGCTGATTCGAGTTGGATTACCGAATCGACTGCGAGGAGAAATATGGGAGCAAACATCAGGGTCATTGTTTTTGCGTTTGGAAAACCCCACATTATATACAGACACTCTAGCGAAGTTTGAAGGAAGAGATTCTCTTGCGATTGATGAAATCGAGAAAGATCTCAATCGAAGTTTACCGGAATATCCTGGATTTCAAAATGCGGAAGGTATCGATCGATTGAGACGAGTTCTTACAGCATATAGTTGGACCAACGAAGAAGTCGGATATTGCCAGGCTATGAATATCGTTGTGGCAGCACTATTAATTTATATGTCTGAAGCACAGGCTTACTTCTTATTATCCGCGTTATGCGACAGACTACTTCCCGGATACTATTCACAAACCATGTACGGCACTCTGTTGGACCAACGCGTATTTGAGTCTTTAGTAGAGAAGACTATGCCAATATTATGGGATCATCTTGTCAAATCGGACGTTCAACTTTCAGTCGTTTCTCTACCTTGGTTTTTGTCACTGTATATTAACTCTATGCCTCTCGTATTTGCATTCCGTGTTTTAGATGTTTTCTTTTTAGAAGGTCCAAAGGTACTCTTTCAAGTTGGTCTCGCTATTTTACGCATAAATGGAGAAGAACTTTTAGATGCCACTGATGATGGAGCTTTTATTTCTGTTCTCAAAGGGTATTTCTCGAAATTGGATGAATCTGCGCATCCAAAATCCGAGAATGCAAAATTGCGAGCAGTCACACGATTTCAGGAGTTGATGGTTGTTGCTTTCAAGGAGTTCTCAGGGATCACACAAAATACCATTGCAGAGCAACGTATGAATCATAAAGATGCTGTTTTGAACAGTATTGAAAGTTTTGCAAAACGAACCTCGATACGAAACTTAGGTCCGGAAAGCAAGAAATTGAGTGTTGACGAATTGGGTGCTTTATATGATAGGTTCTATGGCGTACTATACGAAAGACAACAAAGGAGTCAAATGATACAAGAAGAGAAAGAAAGAAGAGCAAAAGCCAATAGAGCCAGTGTGATTGCTGGGTTAGTAGAGAATCAAAATATCGAGAAAGGTAGAGTGGGTCTTGGTCCAAGTCCTACTCTGATGGATTACGATTGCTTTCGAGAATTCCTTGCTGGAATGACTAAATGGGCTGTAACAGACTCACCATCTACGCGAGAAAAGGAAATTGAGAAGGAGAAACATTCTTATTTTGGCAATTCCTTGCGACGTCGAGATATTTCCCTTTCTCCTTGGGGTTTTGGTAACCCTGAACCAGCCGATCACGAATTTATGCAACGACTTTTCCGAAGATGGGATGTGGATATGAATTCCGCACTGACTTTACAAAATGTCGTTACAGGATTGGCTCATATCAAGGGCAAGGGGGATATTATGGGAAGTATTACATACTTCTTTGAACTTTATGATGATGATGGAGATGGAAAAGTGGATCGAGAAGGGATCTTAAGGATTTCTGAAGCTTTACTATTCCTTTCTCGAAGAGGTTTAGAAGGATCTCTGACGCCTTCACCATCTATGGTT